GGTAATGAAATTTGGTACATTATCAGTAAATATTACATGCTTTCATATGCAAAATATAAATTTTTATTAAGTCTTGAGGTTTGTAAAGCAATGTTTTTCTCTTGCCTTTTTTTTTCATTTTGCATGTTGCCTATCCAACATTCAAAGTAATTTTCATTTTAAGATTAAAAATACTTTTATGCATCAGAAAATTTTGGAATTTCAGATGTGAAATCTTTATAATGTCCACATAGTTTTAAATGTTTCTTAAGAAAAAAAACTATATATTATCTGTTATTTACAGTAATTAATCTGTGCGGGTTCAGTAATTTGACTGATCTCATAACCACCATAAACAATTAGGAAATAAATATATATTATGCCTCTTTCATTCTAGAATGAACACACATGTTTAGACTAAATAGCTTAAATCTCATAACTTTGTACATTTATATATATTTATTATTTTTATTATATTGACCTTTCAGCCGTGCCTGGCTAACAATACAGAAGTTAGTGACGTGGCACACCTGCACTCATTTTACTATATCTAATAACATAAAACTGACTTTTGGTCTGTACAAAGTAACTTGTTTTGGCTGTGTTTTAGTAGACTAGTATTTTGTAAAATAGTCACATTTCAATTAATATACATTATATATATACAGATTATTGCTATTTTGAAATAATTTCTTAAACTTATTTTTCTTGTAATATAGAAAAGTAAATAAAGTAAAGCAAACAATTAAATCTTCTAGTTACAACATTTTGTACTTGGTTGCTGCTTCACATAGGTTGCTAAGCCATTAAAATTTTGCATATTTAGAATATGAAACAATAATTGTTTTAGGTTTTATATACATTTGAATAACTAAAAATCATAAATTATTACATCAATACCATAGAATTCCACTATAATTTATCAAGCTTATTAACTAAGATGTATTTTAGTCTAAAATATATAAAATTTCAGGCACACTAAAGACACTACTTCCTTGAAATATTGGTTCAAAAGAAAAAATGGCGTCCAAGCCCATTAAAATGGCTGAGAAAGCCACTAAGGGACATTCTGAGCTTCCGGGTAATTATTCGTGTCATATATAAAGTAAGTGTATATAAGAGTGTTTCCAAAAATGGAAAGAGGTGGATGGGATGCCCCTGTTTGATTTATTACATGAGCAATATCTTAGCAAATAGAAAAGTTAAGATCTTGTTTTATATTCTAGCTTGTAAATATCTGTAACTTGAGTTTCTTATTCGTACAAAACTGTAGATTTAGTATTTTGACTTCACAGAGATCTAATTTGAACCAGTGCTACATTCAACATACCACATGACACACAAAAATCAATGTTTATCTGCTTTTTTTAATATTTACTTTGAAATTAAAAAATTTAATAATGTATAGTATTAAGATATGAATAATAATCTACAGTTTAATACCAAGCTTATTTACATAAATTCATGAAATAGTAGTTCAATAAAATTTTGAATGCAAGTCAACAAACGAGATGACATGGCCTTTCACGTTTGGCCAGTCTCAAAAGGGTTAAATGAATATTAAACATGGTCAAAGTACAGTGAATTGAGAAGTTGAAAAACACGAAATAAAAGTATCACTTTTTGATTTTCCTTGTTTCAAGTAGTTTAAAGTTTGAATGTACTTTGACCCTCCTGTACACATGGGGTTAGCAGTATCTTAAATATGATCTGTTTGTAATTCTAATACTAGAGCTAAATGTATCATTCCTAATGTTGGCATTTAGGAAAAAATGTCAACATCAGTTAAATAACTTTTTGAAGTTTTTATGTGAATGTGTATTTTTGTTTTAGGGAACAGTTAATGGAGTTACTTCATAGCCGTGCAAGAAGGCGTTTCTCCAGAGGTTTGAAAAGAAAACCAATGGCTCTCATTAAGAAACTCCGTAAAGCCAAAAAAGAAGCCGATCCACTTGAAAAACCTGAAGTTGTAAAAACTCATCTTCGAGATATGATCATTGTTCCAGAAATGGTTGGATCTATTGTGGGGGTGTATAATGGAAAGACTTTCAATCAAGTTGAAATTAAGGTATGTGCATTTGAAGTTTCATTGTCTGCTGCTGTATTGGTGCAAATTAAGGAATAGTGTATATTAATGATTAATATTTTATGATAAGTGAACTATCTTTATTCTTTTGTAAGTAGGTCAAAAAATAATCGGTTGTGAAAATATGATCCAATCTCAATCTACTGTTGGGTAATACTACCTCAATTTTGACACTAACTTCTGGGGTACAGCATTTATTCAGTTGTTTTATTACTATTAATAAGCATTAATAACTTATAATGTTATAAATCAGAAAGATATTTCAAATACACAACATCTATGAAACCTTTGAAACACAGATATGATTTTTAAAAATTAAATTATGAGTTATAATAGAATCAAAACTACTACATGGCATAGCTAATTGCTATACTGTTATGCATGTATTGTATAATGGTTGAACTGAGTATTAAATCTATACCATGAGTGGGCCCAATGATGTCTATACTAGGCCATTTTGAAATCAGTTTAAGTATTAAAACTATTAACTGTCTTTGATTTTATACATAACTTTTTTATAGTCTATATATATAATATATAACGTGTTTAGAAAGATAAGGCAGATGATCCTATCATTCATTGATGTTTTGGCTTCAGACTAGTTACAAAATATTAAATGGTAAGACAGTTCAGTAGAATAACCATGCAGGGAAAACATTAGTTATTTTAATACCTTTCTCTATTACAAATAACGGAACATAACTATGATAGTAAAATGTTCTTTATTGCTTACAGAGCCATTATAACTTACATTTTTGTGTCCCTGTGGAAGGTAGGAAGTTCTACGGCAAACTTGTGGTTTTTTGAGAAAGAAATTAATTTCAGATGATATTTTTACGATTTTGAGAATTTTAGGAACACAATTATAACAAAAGAATGAAATAGCTGAATTTTAGCTAAAAAATGAGCTTAGTTATTGAAAATCTACACATTTCTGGCTTTGTTTTGTTTACTGACAATTTTAGTGTGTGCAGTTGGGAATTTTGATGATTTGCTCCATCTGAATAGAAATTCCAACAACAGGCCAAATATTGACAATTAGTACTATAGTTTTGATGTTTTAATTCCATCCAAAACAACAACAAAAAATGTTAATGAAGATAGTGTCGAAAGAAGGATTTCACTCATAATTTCTGCAGCAATTTAAAAATTTTAGTAGGTTTGGGGCATTCTGTTTTACTGTTTGCATTTTAAAGTGTATGGTTGAATAATTTTTTTGGACAAAAACTTAGAAAACTTTATGGTTAAGGAAGACTAGCTTCACAAAGCAAAAGGACTCATCTTATTTTTGTGTATTGTTTATTAATATATATATATATTTTTTATTTTTTTTTTGAACAAATGTAAATGTAAAAATTTACTAGGTTAGAAAGAATGTTTTGCCTTGAGGAACACAAAAGAAACATGCTTAAAGTTGTGTGACGTATTCTGTAATCTTAAACTATCCACACTTGTACTGGGTGATTTACTGTTATTTATGATAGTTTGAAGCAATAAAATTGCTGTTACAAGCATAACACTATAAGATTATTTTGTTACAAATTGCAGTCATTATAGAAAGAAGAGGTAATTTAGATTTTTTCTATGATAGTTACAAGGTGGGTCAAATGGACCGAGTCTATGCAGTGTTAGGGCAGAGAAAAAGACCAATATAATATAGTTTTAAAGAAAAATAAACTTTTTGTTCAATTAGGAGGTTCTAGAGGCTATGTAAATAAAATATGAAAACTCAGATGAAAAAGTATTTTATTCTTACCCTTGAAATCACCATGCTATCAAGACTAGTTAGTCTAAGTCAGACTGGCTAATACAAATTTAGAGATTGAGTTGATTTTGAGACATTCTGCACATCAGGCAGGTGCTTTACCAACTGAGTTAAAGGGTTAACCCACTAGCAATATCTAGTAAAGAATTTTTACAACCAATTCACATTCTTCTATTATGACAAACATGGTGCTATCGAGGACTGTTTTTCTTGTAATTTCAATGCCGTTAGTTCCTCGGCTGGGGCTTGAACCCAAGACGTCTTGCATGCAGTGTGAGTGCTCTACCAACTGAGCATGTGTTAATAAGGCTCTTTTTTTTATCAACTAACTTGTGCTACCACCTTTTTTCTATAAATATTGGGTTGCAATCTCGTGCTAATTTCCATTCCTCCCTACCTTGGGTTGGAGTCAGACCAAGACTTCTAGCATATTGGGTGGGTGCTCTACCAACTTAGCTAAAGGTGTTAGACCTAATGGTTTAATGGGCATAGGGATGTGTGCTTGTTAACTGCAAGTAAGAAAATTATGTTCTTGCACTTCAGGAGTTTCAGTTCACTTGTTCTCTGTACATGGTTGGTTGGTTCCATTAACTTTGTAACCATCAGTTTCCAGCTTTCAATATGGAATGTATGAAATTTGGCAAACTTTCAATAAACCTTAAGTATTGTACACAATCAATCAGATTTTTAAAGTATTTTTTGCTGAAGATTTGTCTGAATATATGGAGTTAGTATTAACTGCTTTTATTGCAGAGTGATTTAAGTAAATATCAATGTTTTTGGGTGTGTATTCTTTCAGTTAAACCACATTTAATCTGCTGTTTTCTCTACCCTAACTCTATATTGACTTGTAACTACATTCCTTATAACCACCACAAAAAAAGAAATAGACCTAAGGTAGCCTTTTTTTCCTTTCTAAAATGATTGCAACACAAAACTCTGCTGATTTATCTTAAATCACTTAAAGCTCATAATGGTATAAACTGTTTCTATTTATTTTTGCTTATTTGCCCTTTGAACCTTGAAAGTGTCTAATTGATAATCCTGTCATACAAGTTGTAAATTGTTTGGCAAATGCGTAGCTCATGTTACCATTTTGAATGACATAATGCGTGACCTAGTCATGGGCATTCCTTGTGGACAATTATTTATCATTAGCTTACCTGAGGCCACTATTTGCTGATAGTTTGTTTTTCATCTACCGCCTGCATCAGTGTTTTTTTTGTGAAAGAAATATTACTTTTATATTATTATTTTGTACTGCGCGTGTAGTGCATCATCTTAGTGATAATAGTTTGTTGATGTCTACACGTCTTTGTCTTTCATAGTTTTGTCATTGACTAATTTATGAATGCTTCTTGTAATGCATCAAATTTCTATTTTCTTGTGGTTGGCTTTTTTCACAGCACTCTTGTGCGTGCATGTGTTTATAAAACAAGTACTTTTGTATATGTGGGTTGCAATAATTTTTGATACAAGCAAAAGTACCCATCCCAGTGATGGAAAAAGTTCAAGTTAATGTATCAATTTAAATTATTTTATGGACTTTTAAAAGGTTAATTGTGTTGCACTCTTGGTTTCTCTCGAAGCCAAATTTCTAAGCAACTTACCACCCACCACAAAAAGTAATTGTTGAACATTTCAGTCGTGCTAAGAGCTGCTCAGTAAATTTACGTTTTTATTCTTTAAGTTACATTACATTTTGAAATGTGAATGATAGTGTGATTAATTCCCAACAATTTGTTGTCAAATATCCTGCTTGCAAAATAAAATTTGGCATCAACATTATTCATGCCTGTTTTGCTGGCATTTCAAAGGGGAATGTTGAGTTTTGCCTGTGTGCTTGGCTTTTGAAACGGGAGATAGACACCACAATTCACAATATATATATATATATATATATAGTAGATAAAATTTGTGTTGTTTTACATACACAATTGTAGATACATTTGTTTATCATTTCTGTATGAAGCATTGTGAAGAGCACTAAATTAATGAATTTGAAAATTTTAATTACAATATCCTAATGTCTTCCCATCATTATCCAGTTTTTGAGAAGTCCCTGATGAGAAACTAACTGTCAACAAATAGTGGCCTAATCTAATAAGTTTCTAGTTTTATATTTTAGTCACTTTTTAATAATAAATTAAACATATACATGTTAAGCAAGAAATTAGTATTCATCTTTGAGCACTTATCTCTGTCGATTTGTTTGCTATCAATTGCTGATGTCATTTAAGCCTACCCTAAATTATCTATTTAAATAGTGTACTTAAGAACACAGATTATTAATAGGCACAGAGTAAACAATATTCTATAACTTATAATTTAACTGGTTTACTAAGGCAAGAGGGGTTTAATTAAAATAATTCCCTTAGCTACTCAGACTGAAAACATACAATACGCTCTACTGAATACAGTACAATACACCTCATTTGATAACTTAAAACTTTGCCTTACTGTTGGTTATAAATGATATAAAATATCAAGAATTGCCAATAATTCTCTTTGAAAGAGGGAGTGTGACAGTGGGTCTGATTTTCTAGTTTATCTCTATATAAAGATTGAAGGCTATAAAAATTAGGCTTTGCCTTAGTAATATTTTCATTATAATGAGTAATTTATGTTGAACTCCATACTTCAGATAGGGGGTGGTAAATAAATTAGAATGAGAAGTCCTAGAGAACAAATGTCCTGATTCTCATACAAGGGGATGTTGAAAATTTATTTAAATATTTCATATAAAATTAAAGTTAATTTATTAATTATGTTTTGATTGCCAAGTTTATTGATAAAGTAGTATAGCTTTCTAAAGGATCGTTAAATGGGCATTTTGAGGGTTAAATTATACAGTTCATTGAATTTGTATCTAAAACATGAATATTCCAGTTTTGTAAGTTGCTGCAAATACATTGAATGATAAATAGTAATCATGATTTAATACAAAAGTTTATTCATTCATAATAATTTTTTTGATCATGCACTTGAGAAATTTATTAAAATGTTATAGTCTAGATTCATGATTTTATTATTATTTGGAGGTGCTTTAAAAAAGGCCAATTAATCCTGAAATATATACTAGGGACTTTTTGGAGGAATATTGACTCCAAACTTAAGCTTGGCAGTGAAGCCTAGTTAGAGTATGACAAATCCAAAACTACCTTTGTTAGCATACATTGAGAAGTAATGTGTATCTGCTCAGCTTTCGCTACATGTTTGTGTTCTAATTTATTGTGTTTTGATGAGGTGCACTTGTTAAATATGTTTCATCACTGTTAAATATAAGTATTTCAAAACTGTATTAAAATTGAGATTTTTTTGTTTACACTGTAAAATCCCTACCACCAAACAATACAAGACAGGATATAAAACCAAAAAATTCAAATAACAGTGAATATTGTAAAATCTGTTAGGTACTCTTATTTGATGACTATTTTAAATTACTGAGGTATTATCAATTTAATGTTTATTTAAACCTACATTGTGTGAATGAAGCTATAGATATATTACATTTCTTTGGATTTTCCCAAAACAAACATTTGTTCTGCTGTATTTGTCACATGTCTAGTTTAGCATTTATAAGAACGTGCAGCTGGTAATATTGGTTTTGATTCGGGTTATTTTGAGGGTGACCGTGGAAAAAGCAAAGGATTTCGTGTTAAGCTGTAAATATGGGAGTAGATCTATAGGGGGTCAGTTGTAACAGTGGTCTGGCTTTTTTTGTTTAAATATTTATAAAAATAAAGTAAGCTGTTTTTTTGTTGTTTTTTCCTAAGTTTATGGGGTAAACTTGGGTTATTGCATTAAAAAGAATACTTACTTTACAGCCTGAAATGATCGGCCATTACCTGGGGGAATTTAGCATCACATACAAACCAGTTAAGCATGGAAGACCTGGTATTGGTGCCACACATTCATCTCGATTTATTCCTCTTAAGTAAACTTTGGTTGCCTTCTGTAATATAACTGAAGAGAAAATAAAGACCTTGAAAAAGAAATTGCTTCTTGTTTAATTTTAGTTTAACATGGGGATGATTTAGATATTAAAGTGATTGACTGTACCTAAAATGAATTATTATTTCCCTAATTTGCTTTCAGTATTAACAATGAGATATATTCATAATACAATAAAAATGCCATATTTATAAAAGATATTGCTCATAATTGTTTACTGTTGATATTTTTAGTGAATTATAATTCTGCCTGTTTCAATATTAGCATGTGATATATGCAAAATAATTTTGAATTAGTGTGGTCAGCTCGATGATTTACTGTCATTTATTTATATATTTACAGTGTATTCTAACAGCAATATTTATGCATAATTATTATTACATATATTACATCAATAAAAGCCCAAATATCATTTATCCAACCTCTAATTGTCTTTAATATTTAGAGCATTTTCACTTGTTAATAGAGAGAATCTCTAGACTTAGCTAGTACTCGTGGATAAATATTCAGTTTTTAATGATCAGAAAATAAAACTAATCTTAGAATAACTGGTTTCTAACCAAACTAACCTTTCTGGCGAAGTACTGATTTGTATGCAGGGAATGTAAAAGTGGCAAAAGGTTTAACCCATACACTAGAACTAATAGCATCTTATTCCATAAGCTGTTTGCCCAAATAAATTGTTTTGTGTAGAACTTAGCCCATCTTTTCCAAGTCCTAAATTTGTGTTCTATCATATGATTTACTTAAAAATACAGAAGTTTGTATCAAGTTTTTATCCTATCCATCTTCAGAATATACTTTGTAGAGTACCAAGGATCGTATGTTACCCTTTGTTTCTCAAGATCTTAACTCTGTAGGATAACCTTTCCAAATCTGAAATCATCAGAACAGCTTTTCTCTGAGCTCTTCAACAATTCCTGAATTATTAACTAAATTATGCAAGTTCAAACATGGGTAACTTCTAATGCAATAAAATCCAATCATTCCAATACTAAACATAGCCACAATTTTTTAAATGGCAATTGTAAAGTATATGTAATTGTATACAAATGTTTTAATCTACCTATGAAAAACAACTAACACTTTTTTATCTATGATTTTTTTAAACAACTTGTCATATGATCAAAGCTCTATGAATGTTATTCATTCAGAAGAATACTTGGAGTTTAGCACAGAAACAAATGTTTCTTAAATAGATTTTGTAAAAAAACGTTCTTAGACTAAACTGCACAACGTGTAATAAATATAAAAAAAAAGAGCCATCAATGTTCAGATACTGTCACCATTGTTTTAAAAGTTCAAAGTTAGAGGATGTGTAGATAGTGATCCAATTGCAAGAAGGATTATTTAAAGCATCCCAAATAGAATTTAAAATAATGTCACATGAAATTCATTATAAAAGAAATTACTTTGAAATCTAGTGTCACTGTAGGATAATTTGATATAAATTTTAGCCGTTATAACAGTGGCAATGATGATTACCTTCCACAACATTCGCGGTTTCCACCAGAAGGGTTTAACCCTAAAGATGGTATTGCCTGCTGGATGTCTGAGCCACAATAACTATTACAGTAAGTAATGATTAAATTTCATTAACGTTTTTGTAAACAATTTTGCAGGAAATAAAGGTTTTTCTATTGTTTTTATGTGTGTATATGTGCTTTCAAATACATTTATTAACAAAACTTCATTTATTAGTTAGTGGGTTTGTCAACCATCTTATGGACTTCATTTTCTGAAAGATACTATTTTACAAAGTTTAACTATGTACTCAGTAACAAACTCCCACCTAAACTTGTTTCGAAAGTGGGCTGAAAAAATCAAACTTGGTCATGAAATTATGTTTTTAATGTAGAGTTAAGATTTGGGCAGCTGAACAAGAACTACTGTAGCAATGGTGATTATTAAGAAATATGAGAATAAAATGTAAAGTAATTTAAGCAAAGAAAATCAAATGTTTTAAAGTAGCAGTTAATTGATCCAGAAAGTATGTTTTAATGTAAAGTAAGATTTGAGCAGCTGAACAAGAACTACTGTGGCAATGATGATCACCTTCCACAACATTCGCGGTTTCCACCAGAAGGGTTTAACCCTAAAGATGGTATTGCCTGCTGGGTGTCTGAGCCACAATAGCTACTACAGTAAGTAATGATTACATTTCAATAACGTT